AAGTTACGTCTAAAATCTCGAAAATAAATGATGGGAAAAAAATTCTACCTACGCCACTGAATTCTTCGTAAAAAGTTGCCCATATAATGTTTTATTTATAATACTCCATCTTTGATAATAAGTGAGATATTCGCGATTGTCGTTTTCGCAAAATTTTCAGTTTTTGCCGATAGGGCGAAAACAAAAGACGATAGCTGTTCGGAGTTTTCGGCATTAGCATTTTCTCGAAAAACGAGATCATGACATGTAAGCTACTTTTTTTCTATCTCTTTTAGTTTCGGAGATAGCCTATGCGGACATCGAAATTGGGACACCCTGTATAATGACTCGTTGAAATCCCGATTTGTTATGAATATACATTTTGAAAATAACATTTTCATTTTCTTTGACCGTTTTAAATGCATTTCCCCCTTAAAATTAAATTGTGTTTATGTATATTTACAGAAATTGTTTTTGGGTTAATTCTATGTTTCTAATCGCTAAGATAAGCAAATTTGTAGCAAGTAAACTTATTGGGAAGCTTTTCCTTCTTAAGAATTATCTTTTCTAAATCTACATCTTATCCAAAAAATAAACACAAAACACAAAAATCACTCTAATTTTTGGAGTCAGTCCTCAAGCAATTAAAAAAGGATTTTTAAATTATAAATTCTCTACAGGTTTTTGAATGAAAAAAAAGGTCCTCGATTCGTATCTGAACCTTAACCTTACCGCGGATTCTTCCGCTAAACGTTGTGTACGTAAAACGTGAAGAGACGGTTAGAAGAAGAAGAAGAATTGGGTGTGGACATCGATCTCGACTTACTTCTGTGTCTCTTCTCCCCGGTGAAGCTCATCGTCCTTCCGAGTTCACCTTTAACCGCTTTTAATGATTTCAAAATTTCGTCGGGATCTCTCAACATTTTCGTGCAGCTACTTCTTCGGCGATCCCTCGAATACGAAGGGGGAGGAGGCGCAGCTGGAGCATCTTCGTTTTGTTCTTGAGGTGATTGAAACGAAGATCGCCTCGATCCGGGTAAAGATCTTGAAAAATCTTTTCCTAACTGGTAAACTTCAACTTCTAATTGTTCTGATTGTGATGAACCTCTTCGGGAACCCCAAGCGTGATCGGGGTGAAGAAGACTTGCACATTCCCCGATTGAATCGACATCATCAGAGACGCTTCTTTGTATTCCAAATTCGCCGCGGCGATTTAAATTTGTGCCAGTTATTGATCCTCTTGGGCTAGTGTGAGGAGATTTTCCCCGCATTTGGCGGGGATCTTCTAATCGGCACCAAACCGCGCGATCATCCAGGAAGGCTTTTTGAAGATCCACGGTGCATTCTCCCAAGAAAGCGTGCTCATTATGCGGGATTAGATCCCAAAGGGTCACTTCAAGCATTCGATCCATTAATTCTTCTCCTGGAACGCCGGGGAAATTTAAATTTGCGTTCCAAATGGGGTTTTGACTTGGTGGAGCCACTTCAGTTTGAACGCAATGTTGCTCGGAACTAGAAAAAAGAATTGATAGGGGTTAATTAGTACTATAAAATTTTTTTTACGTCATCGGCATCAAACAAATTCTTGCGTAAGCTTCGGGCAAACTTCCATAACCATAACTATCATCTCTTAGCGCTAAATCATCCCCCGCCAAAACGGAGACGACCAATTCTCTTCGCTCATCGTTGTACCAAACTTGAATTTGAATCCTCCCAGAAATTATTTTTTCTCTAGCTAACTGTTCCTGATTAAAACGAAATAATGTTTTAATTTTACAATTAAAAGAATATTATTTCTTTAATATTAATTTGATTTAATTAATTTTAAAAGGTGAGGTTATGTTACAAGGAAGACTCTTTGTGGAAGCAAAAAATAAAAAATGTTAACATTCGTGACTTTTTATAATCTATTCTAGCGGAAGCGTTCAATTTACGATTAATTCTATTCAGGCAAAGCGTTCTCCAAAAAACGAAACACATGCGTTATTAATAATTAAAAATAACACGTAATAGGTAAAAATACAAGACAACAAGACATTTTCGTGCCAGTTGGGACAGAAATAAAACAAGATTGGGCAAAAAGGGTCGCGTACCTAGTTTGTTTAATGGTCCTTGGGACATCCAACGATGTTTTAACTTTTAAAAAGAAACACAAAAATCTTTTGAAGCACAAGAAAAAGAGTGAAAGGGTAACTTGAAACTAAAAGAAATTTTTTTTTAATTCGCTATATATTTAATAATTTTCATTCCTTTTTTTGTGGGTTACAACGACGCAACTATAAACATCTTTTTATTTCAAAATGGTTAATATTTATCTTATCTATGTCTTTTTTTTCTTGGACATCTGTCCCAGCTGACACAATCCACTAAGTTTTTTTAATCGTTTCTAACTCTAATAAATGAGTAATAAATAAATTTTGTATTTCAACTTTAATTATTGTAAATTTTAATCATGTTTTTTACAATAATCTAAGTTTTAAGAGTCTTTATTAAAAATTAATATTTATTGTGATGAATTATTAATTAAAAATAAAGACTCTACTTAATAAATTTTTTTATAAATGTACAGGATGGGTTATAGGCCTCGATAACAAAGAAAACTGTAATTTTTTTTAAATACTCAATAATTTGATCATATAAAAAGATATAAATTAGATTAATAATTGATGAATTGATTTTAATATAAATGAATGAGTTATGAGCAACGTCATCAAAAATATCAGCGAATTTATCCAGGGCGTCCGCCATAAAAACTTCCTGACACACAAATTAGAGTCATTCAAATTAAGAGATCTTGAGGAAGATGTACAAAATTTTACGTGAAATACACTTACAAGGGAAGTATCAGAACTGTCCCTCACCGATTTTGTTGAAATTTGGTACAGCGATAGTATGGCCAAAAATAAGGTTTACGTATTTTTTTATACGTGCTAATAAAGCCCTTGGGGCGAGTTATAAGGGTTGGAAATCGGGGCGAAATATATACAGGGTGATTTATAACATACGGAGCAGATTAAAACAGCAAGTACTAGGGGCCAAACTGAAGATATTTTTTTAATAATGTTTTGACTACAACGTAATAATCACAAAGATATAGAGCATTAAAGTTGAATTAATTGCCCAGCATTTCTTACGATATACGGTATTACACTACGTTTAAATTCAAACTGCGAATATTTCGGGGTTACTTAAGCAATGCCTGATTAGCACCAATAATAAAATCTTTGTAATATGGCAGTTACGGCTATTTAAAAATTTGTTAAATCACTCAAAAACTGGTGTTTGTTTTTTGAGAACCGCTGATACCATGTTTTTATTGCTGTCAATCCAGTTGACTTGGTTACCTAGCAACGGACATGTCATTTAATTTTAATAATCAATGTCATTTAACGTCAAAATTAGAATTTTTACTAATCAAAAAATACAATGGTAATGTACAGTAACGAAGAATACGTAGATATGCTTATTATTTATGGAGCTGCTGGAGAAAACGCTGCACACGCAAGACGTCTGTATTTAGAACGATATCCAAATCGACAGATCCCTTCTGAAAACACTTTTCTTCGGTTAATCCAGCGGGGAAGAGAGACAGGAAATTTGCAACCTAAGAAAGGTCTTGGTGGCGGTAGACTAAACAGACATGGAGTGAATGTGGAAGAAGAAATTCTAGAAATTGTGGAAGCGGATCGAAGCACGAGTACTCGTCAAATTTCTCACCAACTCGAGGTATCCCAGAATTTTGTTTGGCGTACGTTGAAAAGTAACGGTTTACACCCCTATCATTTTCAAAAAGTGCAAGGACTGACTCCCGCTGACTATCCTTTGCGGTTGCAATTTTGCGAGTGGCTACTAAATCGTACCAACAGAGAAGCAGATTTTGCGGACAGTATACTGGTAACGGATGAATGCTGTTTTACCAGAAATGGTGTTCTAAATGTTCACAATTCCCATGTGTGGTCGGACGAAAATCCACACGTTATTCGTCAAGGCTCTTTTCAACAACGATTCAGAGTGAATCTATGGGCGGGAATTGTGAACAATACGTTAATAGGACCTTTCGAATTACCAGGAACTCTTAATGGAACTTCTTATTTACAGTTTTTACAAGAAAATCTGCCAGTACTCCTGGAAGATATTCCGCTACTTATGCGACGTGAGATGTGGTTTATGCACGACGATTGTCCTGCACATTTTAGTCGTAATGTACGAGATTTCCTCGATAATGTTTTTCGGCAAAAATGGATTGGTCGAAGTGGACCTATTCCATGGCCACCACGTAGTCCCGATCTTAACCCATTGGATTTTTTTATGGGGATTCATGAAGGATAGAGTATATGCCACCGAGGTTAATACAATCGACGAACTACGACATCGCATCACTACCGCTACAGGGGACATACGTCCACGATTTCCACGATTATCGTTAAATTGGATTCGTCGTGCGCAGTTGTGCGTCGAAATGCAAGGACAGCACTTTGAACATAATATGTTATAAGGAGATTATTATTATTATTATGTTATTTTCTTGTTTTAGAGATTTTGTAATTTTGCATTTAAAACATTATTATTATCCGTTTCATAAATTAACATCTATTATTTCTTTTCATAAATTACGTATTAAAACTAAACAATCAAATTGTCTACTTTGACAGCTCCTTCAAAAATGAGGATGGCGTTGACAAGTATTTTAATTGTTCTTTAGTGAATATCAGCGGTTCTCAAAAGTTGACGCTAACTTATTTAAAAAATTAACATGCGATATCTATGTAACTATTAAGGTTTTAACAAAACATTATTAAGAAAATCTCTTCAGTTTGACCTCAAGTACCTAACCATTTAGTCTCCTCCGTATGTTATAAATCACCCTGTATATATTCGCTTATAGGCTGAAAACGAAAATAGCTATCGAAATGTGGTAAATGTAAACTGATATTCATTTTCAAAGACCTTTCCATTGATATATCACACATATATCTGAGGGCTTCCGGGGGTAAACTACCCCTAGTTTTTTGGAATATTTTAAAAACTACCCTGTCGATTTTGGCGATATTATGTATCCTTATAGTACGTTTGAAAATATTAATGACTGTTACATTTTTGAACAATATTTTGAAGAAAACCATTGATTAGATGTAAATTAAGATTTACGCAGTAAAATCAACCCTATACGACATTAAGGGGTGGCTGGGGTTAACTACCCTAAACACTCCAAAAATTATTTTTGTTGGCGAAAATTGTTTGTCGATTTTGGTGCAATTTACCAGGATGATTTTTTTATACGTTAGGTAGTACTATTGTAAGAACTTACAAGGGTTAGAAGTTTGAGGTAGAAAATATATTTTCGCTAATAACTTTCATACTCCTACAGAAAATGCTTTTTTATCCTTATTCTATTTAAATAACACAAAAGTTAGGATAATTATATAAATATTTTTTAATGATTATAAAATTTAAATACAGGAATTTTATAATCATTAAAGAATATAAATCCTCTTTAATCATAAAAAAAAATAAATAAAAAAAAAAAAAGAAATTCTAATTACATATAAATATTTATTAATAATGAGTTAAAAAGCAACAGAAAAAAAAATGGTTAAGTGTCAAAAATTGTATTCTACATTGTTAGAATCTTCTGGTACGTTTGGACCGAGGGTAATAAGTACACTGTTCAAAGCAGATAACATATTCGTTTTGGCATCAAAGTCTGGTAAACCGATTTCTGCTCATATAAAAAATTAGCTACAAAATGTCTATTTCCCAAACACCGGATCCAAATCATTACTATCACTGGATTCTTGGAGTGGCCACTGCCCTGAAATTATTAGTGAAGTAACTCCATCGGATGTTAAGTTTAAATATTTGTCTATACCTGCAGGGACAACAGGTCAAATTCAACCCCTGGCTGTATTTGGTTTTAGAATATGGAAAAATTTCATTAGAAGATTTTCTGATCAAGTTATTCCCCTTAACGCATAACCAGTTGTTTCCCCACGAGTTATTAATGTTTTTAAATACGCCTGGTTTGCATCTGGATATATAGAGGACAGACCAGAACAGTTTGAAAATCCCGTGGAGGTTTGCTTTTGCAATGAAAAACCTACGTGCGATATCTGTGGAGATACAGCTGTTGTAACTTGTGCATGGTGTAAACAATCGTTGTGTTTAAAGCATTGTTTCCATGATTTTCATTATTGCCAACAATATATTGAATAAAAAGGGTAAAAAAAACTTAAATTAATGATGTAAAATACAATTTGTGATAGTCAACCATTCTTTTGTCAGTTACTTTTTAACTCATTATTAATAAATATTTATATAATTATCCTAACTTTTGTGTTATTTAAATAGAATAAGGATAAAAAAGCTTTTTCTGTAGGAGTATAAAAGTTATTAGCGAAAATATATTTTCTACCCCAAACTTCTAACCCTTGTAAGTTCTTACAATAGTACTACCTAACGTATAAAAAAATCATCGTGGTAAATTGCACCAAAATCGACAAACAATTTTCGCAAAAAAAANAAGACAGTGTCAAGCTCCTCATGAGAAATGGAGGGAAAGAGGAAATGTGTTAGAAATCTTAAAGATTATTATGAAAACCTAGAAGACTTGTATGAAGAATTTGATGACAGTGACAGCGATCCCAATTATTTAGCAACAAACCCTCCCTACACCAAAACTGTCATGTGGACCTGCATTTTACTGCAGGAAACTGTGGACCTATAACGTAGGTATCCATAACTGCACTTCTGGACAAGGTTTTATGTTCATGTGGGATGAATCAGTTGGAAAAAGGGGTAGTGATGAAATAGGAAGCTGTATTGTAAAGTACTTATTAGTAGCAAATGTCCACGCAAAGAAGTTGGTAATATTTACCGACAACTGCGGAGGACAAAATAAAAATTGGAACATAATGTCGCTTTGGTCACACCTTGTAGCTAGTAAACGTTTTGAAACAATAGAACATTACTTCCTGATAACTGGGCATACTTATCTTCCATCAGACCGTGACTTTTCAAAAATAGAAAAGTATCATACCAAGCACTGCCAAAATGTGTACAGTCCTGGGCAATGGAGAGAGATAGTAGCAAAGTGTGGAACAAAACACTGAACTTCATCGTAACATGCATGATGAGTGAGGATTTCCTCGATTTGTCTAGGGTGCAAGAGACCTACTTTAACACAAAAAGCAAGTTTTGTACAGATGGTGTTACTCCTCCACGATTTTCCAAAGCTATTTGCTTTAAATTTGACAGCGAAGAACCTTTTCAAATGAAACTCAAACACTTGATGAACGAAGAGTTTTTAGTGTTGAACCTAAAGAAACGTGGAAGGAGTTCTATTCCAGCACTACATTTAAAAAGAAATGCGCCCAACAAAATCAATAAGAAAAAATTAGATGATGTCAAATCCTTGATGCAATACATTCCTCCCATCTACCATGGATATTACAATGGCCTACAGTCTTCTGCTGAAGTAGACGACCAAAAGGACGATGTTGTGGTAATATAGGCCTATTTGGAAAGTACCTTTTTGGTTAAGAGTATTTTTTGTCGATTTTTGGGGAAAAAATGCCAAGCAACATTATTCAGTGCATATTTTTCTATACAACCATTTTTATCTTATAATAGCGTTTTTTACCTACATCTTCACTTTTAACGGTATATAGATACATGATCTTTGTATTAAAAAACTTTGGTTTGTTGTCTGCACTAAAATGTTATTTATGGATTTAGCCAAACGTTCAACTTGCTATATCTCAAAACAACAAACATGATGCTTGGCACTTTTTTCTCCCGACCCCTTCAATTCAGTTTAAATACTTAAATGATCGTTAAAAGTTTCTTAGAAACGATATTTGTGGTTAAGTTTCAATAAATTACTTTTTAAGTAAATCGGACACTTATTTTTGGACAAAAAAATCGATATCGGCCACTTATTTCTGGAAGGAGGGAGTAAATAATGTTAAAGCAAGAAACGTGACGTCACTCATAACGTTGAATAATCGATTGTCAAAGTGTTATTAGTGCTATTGTTTCTTAGCTGGAATTATTGTGTAAATGTCGCGAAGTTGTGAAGAAGATAATTTTAAGCGGTGTTTTATATTTTAATTAAAATCGTTGTATTTTATAACCCACCCTGTTTAATTTAATTGAATTAAATGCAATATTGTCTGCGCGAAATATAACAACAACTATTACGTATAATCATCTATATACAAAAACACTTAGGATAATCTACAAATCTCTTATAAGTTTAGTTTAAGTGTTATAATGATATGTCACGGAGAAAATTTTCGAAATATGTGTCTTTCAAGTCTTTTCATTTAATTTAATTTTAATAATTGTTTTCATTATAATTTTTTTTATTTAAATTCAATTTTTTGTGTGTGATAAGTTGGTCCCGTTACTATCCCCCATGTTTCATAGTATGATATTACTTAATATGATTTTATTTTTTAATTTAAATTATTTCTGTATCAACTGGGCATAATATTATTATTTCGACATTTTCGCCCTTCATTTTAGAGTCCCTAAAATCACGATTACGTATGGTACATCTACATCTAATAACATTTATAATGCGTTATATTAAAACGTTTTTTTCTTATATAAATACAAAGACTTTCACGGCCAGTGTTAATTACACTAAAACTAGAACTAACACTAGCATTGAAACTAATAGTAGATCTAGAATTTGAACTGAAAACTTTCGTGTTAAACCGTGCGCCGTTGTAACGTTTTTGAGAAACAACAAAAACTACAAGTAACACTAGTAATAGAACTAATACTACACCTAGAACTAACACTAGACCAAGAACTAGAATCATTCGGCTTTAGCCGTCTTATGAGACGCATGGCTAAACCCGAATGTTTCTATACCTTTTCAAGCTCAAATTGGCACTAATCAGAATCAAAATAACATTAGTCAAAATCAAATTGGCAATGTCAATTTCAAATTGGCATTAATCAAAATCAAATTGATAATAATCAAAATTAAAATGGCATTAGTCAATATCAAATTGGCAATAAACAATATCATATTGGCATTAATCAACAACTTTAGCACTAATCAAAAGCAAATTGACATTAAATAAAATCAAAATGACATTAGTCCATATCATATTGGCACCAAACAATATCAAGATGGCATGAAAAATAAATGTATAAATCGGTGTCAAATAATTGTTAACTTATCGGTTATTGTCAAGTTTATGGTAATTTATTGCGGGATTTCAACTATTATATTCACACGAGATGCCTTATTTAAAGAAAAATGCTGCTGCAAATCTGAGGACACAGATTTGCGCTTTGTATAATGCCAATGGTGACTGGCGTAATCTTGCAAACACATTACAGGTGCCAAAAAGAACCGCGTATCGATGGGTTAACAACCAAGAACAACCGGAAAAGCAGCGAGGAGGTAAACGTAGAGCTAAAATAACTGATGAGCACCGTCAATTCATGGAACGTTCAGTCGAAGAAAATCCTAAAATTACTCTTAAAGGACTGAGTGAAAAAATCCGTGAAGATTTTGCACTCAATGTCTCCAACGAATGCGTTCGACAGCATCTCAATGGATTGATGTTTACTTTGAAGACTGCTCGTAGAGAACCAGAGAACGCGAATAGTATTCAAACGAAAACAAGCAGGAGTATTTATGTAGAAAATTTATTGGATCTTCAAGCACAAAATATACCTATCATATACATGGACGAGACAAACTTTAATTTGTTCATATCGCGGACTCAGGGTCGTTCAAAAAAAGGGACTCGCTGCACAACAGTGTCTGCAGGTTGCAGAGGGTCGAATATTCACCTAATAGGATGCATTGGAAACATGGGGCTAATTCATTCCGAACTACGTCGGGGCTCTTTCAAGAAGCCGGAAGCAAATGAATTTGTGAGGCAATGCCTAAGAAGAGCGCAAGGCCTTTACCAAACTGGAGTTGCATTAGTTATTGATAATGCTCCATGCCACTCTACTATTGAAGAGGTTTTTGCAGAAAACGAATTTGAACACCACACACTTTTACGACTAAGTCCGTACAGCCCTATGTTTAATCCTATTGAACAAGCGTGGTCTGCATTAAAAGCAGGAGTAAAAGCAGATATGGCTGTACAGCTAAATAACATCTTGGCTGGTGCTGACCGGGATCATCTGACTCAAACAGAATATCGAATGCAGAAATTAGAGAACACCGTTCATAATAATATGGACAAGATTACTGTTGCCAATTGCGCAATGTTTATTGCCCACATCCCTTCTGCATTGAATATGCAAGATATAAATTTTTAAGAGTGTTATTTAAAACATAACGTTACCTACTTTTTTGTCACAAATCCACTCCACCCTAGCCAACATGCTTACCAGAAAACAAAATCAACAATTACCGCTCTCCATGGCAATTGCAACCATAGAGATAGCCCTTTGTGCTTTCATAGATATAGAGGGTGCGTTTGATAACACCTCATATGAATCCATAGAGAAGGCTTTAATATAACAATTAATGTTTATAATAAATAGTATTGTTTCTTTTTAAATAAGTAGCACTTTTTCTTTTATACTATTCTAGACTGTTCTAATTGGGCTAAAAATGCGTTACGTAATGAAACCAACTTCATTACGTAACTCAAATCACCTCAAATGTGTGTGGTAATGATGACTTATCCAAGCAGTCGTAGATAAATATATTAATCAACTTTACTTTTCTTTGGTTATACTTAAGCGTTTTAGTTTTAATAAATTGGGGTTATATACAGTTTTTATTTTAGTTAGTAGCTTTACCATTAAATCTTTATTTTTTAATTTTAATATTTCTTTTAATTTAAATATTAGTTTTAATATAACGTTATTCTTTTTAGTCCTACACACAATAAATATCTACACATTTTTATAACAATTATCTAATAACCACTACTTGATTACGGACGTAGACACAGCGTTTATAAGTTTTTAGTATAAAAAAGAAAATAAATTTCTTTTTGGAATAATTAAAAAAATGAAGGAAAAAAAGTGTTAGGAACTTGGAATAATGATTGATTGCGTTTTATTATTCGATTAATCTTGATCGTTTAATATATTATATTCTTGAACGAGATTTGGAAAATGTTTTATTACGTTTCAATTCCGATAGAATTTTAAATCCTAATTCGAATTCCTTTAAATACTTTTTTAACCTCATTCAAGATTATTATGATTGAAATAGGAATTGAAAAAGTATCAAAAAAATAATTGTCAGCGCAAGCTCTATACTTTCAGATATGTTGTTTTAAAAGCATTTTCATAGCAAATCAATAAATTGTATATATAAAATTACTAATTTTAACTACAACGATTTTTTTAGATTTGATTTTTTTAGTATAGATATAAAATCACTCGTTAATAAGTGACACTCTCTCAAAAAAAGAATTTATATTTAAGAAGTATGATATATCACAGAGATTCAGTTTTCGTTCCGAGGTGGAAGCAAAAGTGGGGAAGAAAGGGAGATTTTCATTTCTACTTAGATTTTTTATAATTTTGCCCAATTTTTGTTTGTAATGTAATGATTGTATATATCAGTTTTTTTATTGTGCTTATACCGGTGTTTTTGGCAATTTCCGTCTTGTTGGAGACGAAGGTGTCTTATCTTGATCAGGTTCTGTAAAAAAAATAACTTTTTAATAAAAGAATCAACAATTTTTAACAAATTAATCATAGCCAAATACAATCAAGTGCACAAGACATTTTTTTACGTGATTAACATAAAAAAATATATCAATGACTTACTCAACATTAATCTTTTTCGTGGAACTTAAAAAAAATCGTAAACTAAAAAATTATTACCTATAGCACATATTATACACGTTGTATTAAAGGTAATAAGAATACATATTTTAATATCCCTTTTACATAACACATATATACTCAGGGTCGTTCAAAAAAAGGGACTCGCTGCACAACAGTGTCTGCAGGTTGCAGAGGGTCGAATATTCACCTAATAGGATGCATTGGAAACATGGGGCTAATTCATTCCGAACTACGTCGGGGCTCTTTCAAGAAGCCGGAAGCAAATGAATTTGTGAGGCAATGCCTAAGAAGAGCGCAAGGCCTTTACCAAACTGGAGTTGCATTAGTTATTGATAATGCTCCATGCCACTCTACTATTGAAGAGGTTTTTGCAGAAAACGAATTTGAACACCACACACTTTTACGACTAAGTCCGTACAGCCCTATGTTTAATCCTATTGAACAAGCGTGGTCTGCATTAAAAGCAGGAGTAAAAGCAGATATGGCTGTACAGCTAAATAACATCTTGGCTGGTGCTGACCGGGATNCAAAGCCCATAGATTTTCGATTGGGTTAAGATCAGGTGACCGCGCTGGCCAGGGTATTCGCCTAACCTCATTATGATCGTCAAACCAATCATGAACAATTCTTGAAGAATGCACGGGTGAATTGTCTTGGACAATCGTGATGATCCCTTCTGGATACAAGGTTCTTACTGATGGTATCAAAACATCCTCCAGCACTCGAATGTATTCAATCGAATTAAATCCTTGATAATTGTGGACGCTGTAAATGGATTGGCGGTGACGTATTCAGCAATTCCCCTTCGTTGAGCATTATTAAGAATAAGCCTTCACCCTGATCTAGATGTTGTAAGGCCAACTTTCCCGTTTTCTTCAAATCTTACTGATAAGTCTACACGTTCGGCAATTTCCCGTTTATCTATTCCTTCTTGATGAAGTGCAATAATTGCTCGCCTCGTAGTCATACCTGACTCTCGTTGACCAAGAACACGAGGCATGTTGTATTTAAGAAAATGGACAAATTTGAATGCACGTAATTTTGATAATGAATAATTCTATTTAAAATTTGAAGGAGAGTTTAATAAAGCTTTATTTATAAGTTTTATATTATATTAATTATATTACTGAGACTTTTGTCTGACGTTTTATTTTTTATAGTATTTATAGAAATACTCTAAAATCATTTATTAGAGGAACATATAAAAATCGTGTATTTGATGTTCTTAAATACAGGGTGTCTTAGCGAGACCGGTCATTAGACGTTTCTGGGGTTCTGGCGAAAATAAAAATTTGGGAATTCAGACTTAAGTATTATCAATTACGATCTCTTCGTCTAAAATATTTTCAGATTTCTTACACTAAGTTTCCCGATTAAAAACTGAACC